ACAAAAAAAAAAAAAAAAAAAAAAAAAAAAAAAAAAAACAACTCAGGAGTTTGAGGAGATGCTGCGGCTTTACAAGGCAGAGAAAGTAGGTCCCAGTATGTTTGGCCATAGGTCTCAGGGGAAGCAGGGTCCTGGGGCAATCTGTCCAGCAGTGCTGCGATCAGAGGCAAGCATTAACATTGGTATTTGGTCGGGCAACATGTTTCAAGCTACACTTATTGACCATATACTGTGCAGAAGGTGTTGTAAGCTAGTTAAACTGTGTTAACTAACGTTTAGTCACAACTACTTTACAAGGGAGTCTTAGCTCCATTTTACAGAGATTTCCATGGAAGCTGGAGGGGCTTGGTCACAGAGTAGGGGCTAGAGCCAAGTCAATCTTATATAGCCTTTTCCTGCCACAACTCTGGCAGGCTCTTCCCCACCTCTCAGCTTAGCCCTCACTCATTTTGGGGCCAACAGATAGTGTGATCTGGGCAGAAGAGGCAGCATGAGGAGACGGGACGGGGGGCCCATAGCTGCTGTTCTTCACCTGCCCTAAAGCTGAGTCTGTGCCCACTGCCCTCCTTGCTCCCTGTGGTGGACACACTGCTTTGAAGCGGTGACCAGCAAGGAGGGGAAAAGCAGTCTCTTGCAGCTGGGTCTCCAGCACGACCGCTGAGGAAGACAGCCCTGAAGGCAGACGAGGACAGCATGTGCTCATGCACTGCCGAGACCCACACTGCCAGAGCCCCTTGAGTGGAAAGCGGACTGCTGGAGAGAGGAGCGGACACTTGGATGCTTTCAATTCCCTTGTTTGTATGAACAGGCAGAGCCCAGGCTGTCATACACTGACCCCGCCTGTCCTGCATGACAGGGCTGGTGGGTAAAGCAGGGAATGTGCACATGATCTTACTGACACACGCCTTCAGGGTCTGCCCCACCAGCACTCGCCTACCCTGAAGACTGTTTTAGAGAAAGATTAAGAATGCAAGTGAAATACATGACATGGAAGGTTAAATGTCTCATGATTTTTCTTATATGAGAAACCCAAAATATAAATAAAGAATAAAACAAAAGACAGATAATGGGAAACTTTGTGGAGACAGGAGGGGTTCCAGGGATGGAAGGGAAGAGAAGGGAAGTAGAAGGATTAAGATGCCATATGTATATGTCCCACTTCCCCACTGTGAGTGTGTTTATTCCATATTACAAACATACACTAAAAGTAAAATAAAAAATAAAGAATGCCTTACCAGGTAAGCGGATGGGCTTCCAAGGGGCAGAGTTTGGCACATAAGCATGCTTTGTGGTGGTGACAATCAGCTGACTGCCCAGTTTGTACTGGAACCTGATGAAGGCGATGCCACCTGTTCCCGAAGTGCCCGAGGCAATGGAGACCTGGTTGGCGAAGATCTCGATGAGCGCATCCGGGATGGGCTGGTGGGTGCTGGCGTCACTGATGTGTACCTTCAGGGTCACCTCTGCAGAGAGGACAGCGCAGCCAGTCAGGGAGCAGCAACAGCACTCTGCGGTCCACTCTGACAGGAGGCTGAGGCAGACATGCTAAGAAAATCTAGGTCTGCACCCCAGTGTGGGTGATTGTAATAGGGACATTTTCTTCTTAAAGGTCTCTTTTTACCTCACACACTTCGAAACCACTGACCACCCCCGACTGCTTTCTTCTTTACTCCTTCCACTCATTCCAGCAGATAACAAAGGGACAAGTACTGTTCCCCCAGCACTCTAGGAAACAAGTACCACACTCCTCCTCTGAGCTGCTGGCAAACAGCCCAGACCTGGCTCAAACGCTACAGAAGAGACACGGATGACCGTGGGACTCACAGCCATAATATTGTCACGCTAGGCATTATGAAGATTGCACCGAATAGTAGTGAAAAGTACCTTTTATTAATATATTTTATTAGTGTCTATTAAACTGTTTTACTTTATTATTTTTAGCAAAACATTTATTGGTACATTTTAGATATACATAATGATAATATTCACCATAGGGAATTTGTACCAGTACATGATATATCTTGCTTCCTTTTTAACTCACCCCCTCCCTTATATACAAAACCTTTGTTTCCATTTTTTACTTCCATGTTTTTCCTTGTCCCTTTTTTCCTTTCCTTCTCAACCCTGTCTTATTCCTCTTCTCATTTGAACATTTTCTTCCTATTTTCCAATGTCTACTGTAAATTTAGTCCTACTTTGAGTTTCTCACACCAGAGAAACAATGCAGTATTTAAGCACGTGTGTTCAATGTATTGCACCTAAGAGTATGGTCTCGAGGTGCATTCATTTAGCTAGAAATGTCTCAAGCTCACCCTTCTTTATGGCAGAGTAGTGCTCCATTGTATATTAAAAAGCACATCTTTATCCATTCATCGGATGGTCATTTGAGCTCTTTTCAAGATTTAGCTATTACAAATTGTGTCACTATGAACATGGGTGTGTATATATTGCTGTGGTATGCTGCTTTTTAATTCTTTCAGGAAGATACCAGGAAGGGGAATAGCCCGGTGAAATAGAACTTCCAGTTTTAGTTTTTTTTTTTTTTTAAAGTACTGGGAATTGAACTCAGGACCTTGCGCTTGAAAGGCAGGTGCGGTACCACTGAGCTAAATCCCCAACCCTGGTTTTAGTTCTCTGATAAATCACAGTACTGATTTCCACAGTGATCGCACCAGTCTACATTCTAACTAATAGTGGAGAAGGATTCCTTCTTTTTCCCCTATAATCCCTTCATCATTTGTTATTGGTTGAATTCTTGATAACAGCCATTCTTTCTGGAGTGAGATGGAATCTCAGTGTTTTTAATTTTCATCTCTTGAATGACTAATAATGTTGAACACTTTTTCATATATTTATTTGCTGTTTCTACTTCTTCACTTGAGAGGTATTTATTCATTTCTGATTCCCATTTTGGACTGGGTTAAATTTGCGGGGTCTTTTTTTTTTAGTTCTTTATATATTCTAGATATTAATCCTTTGTCTGGGGAATAGCTGGCAAAAATTTTGGGGGTTATCTTTTCACTCTGTTGGAGGTTTCTCTTGCTGTGCAAAAGCTTTTTAATAAAATGAGATCCCAATTGTTGATTCTTTGTGATAGTTCCTGTGCAACTGAGGTATTGTTCATAAAGTCTTTGCCTATACCATGTCTTCAAGAGTTCCACCTATTTTATCTTCCAGCAAATTAAGTGTTGCTGTTTTAATATTTAGGTCTTGAATCCATTTTGATTCTAGTTTAGTTCATGGTGAAAGATATAGGTCAAGTTTTAATCTTTGGCAATGACAAAGCCAGTTTTTCCAGAACCATTTATTAAAGAGGCTATCTTTCTTCCAGTGAATGTATTTGTCAAAGATAAGGTGGCTGAGTATGTCTGCAGTTGTTTCTGCATCTTCCAACCTGTTCCATTGATTCTCAGATCTGTTTTTTTTTTTTTTTTGTCAGTACCATGTTGTTTTTTGTTTTGTTCTGTTTTGATTGAAGTAGCTTTGTAGTATAATTTCAGTCAGGGATTGGGATGCCCCAGGCCTTGCCTTTATTGTCCAGAATTGCCTTGGCTAGTCTAGGTCTCTTCTGGTTCCAAATAAATTTTAGGATTATTTTTTCTAACTCTATGAGATATGTTAGTGGGTGTTGCATTAAATCAGAATAACAAAAAAAATCAGAATAACAATTTTAGAAGTATGGCAATTTCAACATTTTGGTTCTTCCCACCCAAGAACAAGGGTTGTCTTTCAATTTTCTGATATCCTCTTTGATCTTCTTTTTTAGAGTAGTGTAGATTTCAATGTAGAAATCTTTTACTTCCTTTATTAGACTGATTCTTAGGTATTTCATTTTTGAATGCTATTGTGAAAGGAGTTATTTCCCTAATTTCTTTCTCAGTGAGTTCATTGTTTGCGTAGAGGAAGGCTATTGATTTCTGAGTGTTGACTTTGTATCCAGCTATGCTACTAAATTTGGTTATTAAATCTAGAAGTCTTTTGGTGGAGCTTTTGGGGTATTCTATGTAGAATATCATGTTAACTGCAAATAACGATAATTTAACTTCTCCTCTTCCTATCAGTATTCCTTTTATTTCTTTCTCTTGTCTAATTGCTCTGGCTAATGTTTCCATAACTATATTGAATTAAAAGTGGTGACAGTGGACATTCTTGTCTTGTTCCTGATTTTAGAGTGAAAACTTTGAGTTTTTATCCATTTAGTAGGATGTTGGCTGTTTATCAGTTTGAGATAAAGATCACCTATTCCAATTTTCTGTAAGTTTAAAAAATTTTTAATCATAAATGGGTGTTGGACCTTGTCAAACATTTTTTCTACCTCAATTGAGATCATTATGTGGTTTTTGTCCTTGAATTTGTTAATATAGTGTATTACATTTATTGATTTATGTATGTGAAACTATCTCCGTATCCTGGGGATAGTCCTACTTGGTCATGGTGTATGACCTTCTTGATTATTTGCTGCATTCTGTTTACCAGTATCTTATGAAGAGTTTTGCATCTATGTTCATTAGGGAGATTGGTTTGTAGCTCTCTTTTTTGGTTGGCTCCTTCTCTGGCTTTGGTATCAGGGTAATGCTTGCTTCCAGGAATGAATTTGGGAGCGCTGCTTCCTTTTAATTTCCTTAAATAGTTTGAGAAATAGTGGCATTTGGTCTTTTCTAATTATAGAATTCAGCTGTGAATCTGTCAGGGCCGGGCTTTTTTTGTTTGTAGGTTTTTAATTACATCTTCAATTCCATTGATTGATATTGATGTATTTAGAATGTTTGTATCTTGATTCAGTTTTGGTAATTCGTATGTACCTAAGAATCTGTCCATTTCTTCTGTATCTTCCATTTTATTAGAGTACAGGTTCTTGAAGTAGGTATTGATAATCTCTGGATTTCTTCAGGATCTATAGTGATTTCACCCTTTCATTCCTAATTGCATAGATTTGAGGCTTTCTTTTCTTTTGGATAAGCTTGGCTAAGGGTTTGTCAATTTATTTAATCTTTCAAACAAGTAACACTTTGATTCACTGATTCTTTTTTCTTTTGACATGAAACATTTATTCTGTAAGAAACATCTAGATAATGCCACAGAAGCCCTAGTATGTCTACAGTACCATATATAAAAGGGACAACCACACACAATGATGACACTAAAGCACCATAAGATACAAAGTACTTTCTGAATCCAAGAAGTCAAATATACTACGAATGGGTGTTAATGTCTTCACACAGATCAAAATTTTAATACTCTGGTATCTGGTAAACCAGATAATCAGAACACCTAATCATGTAACTTTTGGTGATATACAATTTGGTGATAAATTCTTTTGTTGATACAAATACTTACTATGCCCATCTTGCATATCTCCATACAAATTTCAATTCCAAATTTCCAAATTTCAATTTCTTGACCAAGTGATATATTGCTTGAATTCATTAAATATACTTAGATTTTGCTATTATACAAACAAATGTACAACTAAATTAATATGTATATGAAAAGTGCTATGCCTTTACAGGAACAGTGATGTTCGGCAAAGTATTTATGAATGCATGTTATACTACTTATGCCTTTTAAAAGTTGTATCTAAATTTCCCTCTCTATATTATAAACAACTTTGTGATTTTTATAAGAAATCTACACCTCTGTGATTCTCAGATTCTTTTTTCTCCTCCTTATTCCTTAGCTTACACTAAGTAAGCTATATTGGCGTCTCAGGCTTTGTGTATTTCTTCAGAATGAAGAGTTGTTCAGAGGGCTAGATCCAGTATGAGAATTACTGTATTAACTTAGTATACAAAAAGTATTAAAGACACTTTTCTGGAAATATACAGAACATGTCAGGCCAAATATCTTGGTTATTCAATAAACTGGGAATACTGGTGAACTACACACATAACTTTTATTTACAAAATAGAATAACTTAAATATTAAAATGTACTTTTATGTTACTAATATAACTTACCTATCAGCTTAACAAATGGCAATATTTGATACAAAAAAAATCACAAAATTCACTAACTTTAGCTGTTGTATACCAAAGCATACAAACTCATCTCCCATTTATACTATAGACAACAATTCTTCAGTTACTCTAGCATTTATACCCTAATTAGAAATTTATACAAAATGCAATTTTATGTTCATATATGGAAATAAGTGACATAATCCTCAAATCCAAAAGTATCCCAGGATTCTTAAAAAGCAACATCCCCAACAGCTACATCCATGGGCACTAGCATCACTATGTAACATCTTATGTACCACATCAACCAGAGTGACATACATGAATAAGCCAGCAGTAAGTGCAAATATTCACATGGAAACATTTTCAGCATAATGCCCAGTGAAAATTCCGGTTGCCATTCCAAGATATGTCAGCGTGGCCGACAATGCATTATAAAGCACAGCCTCCTTAACAGTCATGCCAGCCTTTAGTAAGACAGCAAAGTCACCCAATTCATGAGGCAACTCATGACAGAACACAACAGAAATACTTAACCCACTTTGTAAGCCTTCAGTGAAAGCATCAATTGCTAGGCCATCGCTTAAGTGCAGACCATCACCCGTTATCACCATCCAAGCCAAAGTGGCAATGCCAGCATCTTTTAGCTCCTCCCAAGAGTAGCGCTGACTGTGACTGTGTGGGTGGTGGTTTTGGTAGTGGTGATAGAGAGTATGATGGTAGTGATGATGCTGGTGACTGAGGTCATCTGACTGGCCCAGTGTATCATGCAAATGTGAATGGCATTTGTTTTCACACCCTCTGGGTTCATGTTCACTGTAGACTTCTTGTGGATGAGCATGAGCTATCATGACCTCTTCTTTTTCCAAGATTGCTGGCTGAGAATTGAAGTGGGAGGGCTCATGTGAATCTGCCTGTAAATACCCTTCAGCTCAGTCATCAGCATCTACTTTCTCCTCATTTGTTGAAGGTTGGGACTCATACTTGGACAACTGCTTCTTAATCTCCATGTCATCATCATTTTCAGGCTTTTAAAAATTCTTTTTCTTCATATCCTTAAATTGCTTCATCAATGCAAGTACTTGTTCAACAAGAAACATGAAATGCAAGCCTCCCAATTCTGTCAGACATTTCCATGTGGACTCCAAACAGGAACTTTCTTCTATGTTTTGAAAAGACAGATGACCAAAAAGTGGGCCTCTTTTCATTTCCATTGACTGCTCTTCATGGCTACGGTTGCAGTGGTGGTTTTCATGAGAATGTGGAAGAAGGTGCAATAAAGCATCATCACTCAAAGTCCCAATGGCCAATGCCACAAGGAAACTTAGAAGAAATCTGAAAACATCTGATTCACGAGTCACCAAGATGACCCCCAGCAAAGACAGGAAACTGATGAAGGAAATGGCTATAAAGCCACCGACCCAGGCCACTTGTAAAGAATAGGTCTTTGGTGGGATTTCAGTCTTCTTCTTGCTCATTGTATGAATCAAACAAGATCTGACATCAATTTGATTGATGATGGCTGGGCAGAGATAGCTGAACTCTGTTGCATTCAGTGGAAACTGGATGCTCATTCCATGAGACATACGCAGCTTTGATGCATTGAAACACTCCTGAGTATTGTCATTTATTTCTGGAATACAGGATCCCTTTTCTTTGCTCACTCACAGACTCGCTGGTTGGTTTTCCTACCAACCAGCAGTTTCACTAGGCTCCTGTGATACTGGGTGGGGTGGAACTGCTTACATCTTTGGGGAGTTTTCCAGGTTTTGGAGTCTTTACTGTCTCTAGAAAGTAAATTCCTTCAGAGGCAGTGTTGTACATGGCTGAGGTCACATCACCAGCACTGACAACCTCCTTAGTGTTCTTTCTACCACTGGCATGTTGCAGGTGGTAAGATCCCTTCCCCTGGCCATTTCTATGATCTTTACCTGAACCATCAGAGTGATGGTCTGGGCAAAGAGCTTTCCGATTATTTCTTACGAGAAGCAGCATGATTACTATGAGTGTGATGATCACGGTCAGAGTGATGCTCATGGTCATGGTGGGTACGGATTCTTTTAATCCTTTCTATGCTTATATTCTGAAGCAATTTTCTGAACCTTTCTGTTGACAAGGAATTGTTCTCTCCTTAGCAGTAGAAAAGCTTCTGTACATGATGTTGCTGAGAGCTTACTGCTGTGTCAACGCTGCTGCCAGATTCCCAAATTGGATTAATATTCTCAGTAGTCTGAGAGAAAGCAACAGCTGATTCTACTTCATGAAGGGGGTTTGAGGCAACAGGGAAAAGGTCAAGATCAAAATTACAGGTAAATTCCTTGGGAGGGACTGGCTGTGGTGGTCTCTCCAAAAAAGTCTTTACACCGTGCACAGACGCTGTGGTCTTATGGGTTCCACCAACTGCCCTCTCTTTCCTGGAGCAGGACAATCAGGAGTCAGAGCCCTGGCCACACAAAGCCAAGGACCCTGCCTCCCACGGCAGTGCAGTGCAGCTCTCGAACCCGGACTCCACAGATCCACTTTTGGAGCCTTCCTAGACAGTGGGTGGAGCAGGGCCGCGGAGCAGAGGTGTCAGGCAAGGTAAGAATGGGGGACAGCAGTTTTGTCAGATGATGGGAGCCAGTCCTTGAGGGGCTGCCCTGGCACTAGAGCACTGGTCTTTCTTTAGGGTCCTAAAGTACTCCAGTGGGGCGTCGTGCCTCCTGCGCTGTGGCGGGAGAGTGAAAGCTATGGAGAAGCACAGGGCCAGCAGGGGTGGGGCTGCCCCAGTGCCTCCCGAATCCTTGTATTGTTTTCTTGATCACCACCGCATTACTTTCTGCTCTGATATTTATAAATTCCTCCATATTACAAGCTTTGGGCTTGACTTTCTTCTTTTGCTAGAAGTTTGAGGTTCCACATTAGGTTGAGTGCACTGTTTTTCTTTTATGGGTATTCATCGCTATAAGCTTGCTTCATGGGGCTGCTTTCATTGCATCTCTTAAGTTCCGGAGTATTGCAGTGGCATTATTATTTAATCGTAGAAACGTCTAATTTCTTTAATTTAATCTGTGACCCATTGGTTTTTTAGGGGTGTGTTGTTTAACTTCCATGTGTTTATGAAGTTCTTGTGGTTTCTTTTGCCATTGATTTCCAGTATCACTGCACTATGGTCTGATAATATGCATGGGCTAATTTCAATTCCTTTTCATTTACTTAAGCACATTCTGTGAGTTAACATGTGGTCAATTTTGGAGAACATCCCATGTGCAGCTAAGAAGACTATGTATTTATGCAGTGGGTGAAAAACTCTGTAGACACCTACTAAGTCCATTTGTTCAAAAGTTTGGTTCAATTCTAATATTTCATTGTTGATTTTTTATCTAGTTGATCTATTTGTGATAGTGGGGCATTGAGGTTCCCCATTACAACTGTATTAGTGCTTATTTGATTTTTCATGACTGTTTTATATAGTTGGGTGCACTGCTTTTTGGTGCATGAATATTTATGATTGTTATTTCTTCCTCTCAGATTGTTCCCTTTACAAAGATACTGGCAGAATGGATTGAGAAGTAAGATCTAACAATATGCTGCATTCAAGAAACACATTTAATTCAAAAAGAAATTCATAGACTGAAAGACAAAAGAATGGAAAACAATATTCCATGAGTCAGGAACCTGGAAAAAAGCAGGGATAGCTGTATTATTTGCAAAGTGGACTTCAAGTCAAGACTGATTAAGAGAGAGACAAAGGTCACTACCTCCTTGTACAGTGTATATTAATCTTACAAAATTTTAATGCCGCATTTTCAAATACACAGATACCACAGTATTCCCCAAGACCTTCCTCCACCCCTCCCCAATTCCCTTCCTTATGTTTAACATTTGATCGTGTTTAACACTCTCCCTTCTACTTTTGTGCTTTTAAAAAAAATTTCATATATTAAGGAAAACAGGTGGTCATCAACATGACAATCTTCCAGTTCTGTTCTCCTGTAAATGACATATAACTGAAAAATATTCTTAAGTATATATACAGTACCACATTTTCTTTACCCATTCATCCTTCAATAACTTGGTTGTTTCATATCTTAGTCATTGTGAACTGTGCCACAACAAATGCGGGTATACCAGTACCCTAATAGTATACTGACTTAATTCCTTTGAGTATACAGCATGGAGTGGTATAGCTAGGTCATGTAGTGATTCTATTTTTAGTGTTTTGAGGAACCTCTGTACTGATTTCTATAGTAGCATATTAATTTACACTCAAAAATATCTTTTAGGACTTGTGTGGTCCTAGAAGAGGCAGAGAAGACTGCAAGTTCAAGCCCAGATTGGCATTTTAGTAACTCAGCTAAATAAAACGTAATAAAATTTAAAAATGGTTAGGAAATGTAGTGCAGTACAAAGGCCCTGAATTCAATCCCCTGTGCTGCTTAAAAGTTGTTTTTTTTTTTCAAAGACCTAAAGAATGGGGTTAAGAGGAGACACAAAACTAAAAAGTAAACATTTCAAGACAGATGGGAGTGAGTTAGAAGAACAGGCTTGAGAAGAGCTAAGTCTAGAGGCTGAATGTTTGGTTTAGAGCCTCTGTCACAAGCCAGGGAAGAAATAGCAGCAGCCCTAAGTAATTCAGCCTCACCAAGGATATCAATCAAAGGAGGGCGATTCCAGAATGAGACAGAGAACAGACAGATGCGTCTCCTGCTCCCATAACCATTTCTGCGTCAGTAGGAAGGGGGTGGATGGCGACAGGCCACATAAACCCACCTGCTTGCCACAGGCACTGGCTGTAGTACCACAGGCACTGGCTCCTACCTCTGATCTGAAAGCCTTCCTGCTGTTGGGCCTACAGGTACGTGCAGTGCTATGTTCCTGGAGGCCTACCTGCAATCAGCACTCTAGCTTTGAAACTTTGCTCCACCAAGGACTAATCATGCAGTACTGGACAAGTCCTCATCTGTGAACTAGGAATGCTAGTGCACATCTTCATTTACAGGTAGAGACCGTGAGCATAGTGATTGGCAGAGGAAATATTAATGCCAGTCATAGCTGTCACATTATTCCAATCACTGTGCCCACATGCACTCAGTCACAGTACTGCAGGGTGACAAGGCAGAGCTCAGAGAAGGAAGGCAGAAAGCAGAAGGGTATGAACAACAAGAAGTCTTCTCAGGGAGTGTGAAAACCTTTCTACTCAAGGTTATAGGGCTGGGGGGATGGCTCAGTGGTGCAGCACACATTCAGTAAACATAAGGCACTAGATTCAATCTCTAGCACCAAAGATGAATGAATGAATGAATGAAAAGTCTTCTGTACCAAACCAGTATAACCACATACAATAGAATTTGTGTATACAGTGGGGGATCTCTGCTTTGATAACTTGCCCATCATTTGTCTCATATGAAAGCAACTTTTTCAATGCCGCATATTTCAATTAGAGCCAATCATTTCTTCACTTTTTTATATATTGATAAAATAAAATTTTCAATGGATGTCCTCAGATAATAAATGAAGAACCCCAGCCTTAGGTACTATTTTTTTAATCCATTAAGTTTATTGGCACATTTTAGATATACATTATGATTACTTTCATCATTGGGAATTTGTACCTGTACGTGATCTATTTTAGTCTTTGATTTTTCCCCATTCCCTACCCCCTCCACCCCTCTCTTATTTACAAAAGCTTTGTTTCCATTTTTTCCTTCTTTTCTCATATGTTTTCTTTCTCTTTCCTTTCTCTTACCCCACCTCCCTACTTCCCTTCTGGACCTTTTATCCCTATTTCACATTATCTATTATACTAGATATTGTTTTGGGTTTTTTTTTGAGACAGGGTCTCACTATGTAGTTGAGACTGACCTGGAACTCACTACGGAGCCCAGGCTGGGATTATAGGTGTGCACCACCACACCCGGCTAGGTATTATTGATGTACATCAAATAAATCCCTCAAAACCTTTTAGACAGAAAAACACGCTACAGAAGTTGAACTTATTACTTCATATCATAGAAGAAAACTAATAAAAATTAGAAAGATAAAAATCCGCATCATGAAAATCAAGGATGTGATATTGTATATTACATTTAGCCAGTTCTCCAATCTCATTAGCATTAGTTACCTTCATGTAGACTTGAGGGATGTATAGTAGGGTTTCTTATTTAACTTGGTCATCACTGTTCCCAAGTAGTATGACTTATAACACAGGTGACTCAGTTTTTATTAATAGTTACATGACAAAAACCCTTTGGAAAAGGGAAAGTGGGAAGGGTTTTGTAGCATTTGTACAGTTTTATGGTAATGTAACATTCTGAAAATGAGAATTACAAGATCACTACTCTTCAGTTTTGCCAAGAAGGCATAAAACCCTGAGATTTGGGGGAAAAAGGATTTGGGAATAAACAGAGGAAGGGGGAGTTCACCCTAACTAGCATTCTAGATTCAACCACTTGAGTTTCCTCTGATATGCAAAGTCTAGTTTATGTTCTACAATTATATACTTTGGAAAAGATTATATACCACCACTTTTAGTGTGACAGGACAGGAAATAATGTCACCATGGCTGGGTAATTCTTACAGACCCCTGGGATGTCATTTTTATTGAATGACACATTCGACACTAAAACAAAACAAAACAAAACAAAAAACCAAAAACTATTTCAGTCGACAGCTAGAGGAGAAATCTTCTGACCAGGTGAAATACTGTTCAATAATACTACTTTCCTTTTTTGGATAAAAGGAAGACCCTGTAAGTGGCCCCATTTAGATGCAGTATGTTTCTTTGGTGATCTGTGAGAGATTTAGGGTCCCATTGAGTAAGGCATTTGCTTACTAAATGGAAACTGTGACATTCTTTGAATGCTTATCCTGCATATCCCTCACCCAGTTGTATGGGGCTGATTCCAAAATACACATCTCAAAGCAGGCCTTTGTTTTGCATCTTTGTTAGCATTGCTCTATTTCAGGCCCCCATAATCTATCACTACAGTGCTGCTCAGCCTTGTAACAAAAACTGCCTCACCTGAGACCTTAGCTGTGCAGTCCCATGGAAGCTGAAGGTGCGACCTAAAACACTGAGTTGACATTGAACTTCTAGTGCCCACCCACCACCTGGAGCAGGTGTCAGAAACTGCGGTCCAACCATGG